TCACTGTTCCTTTAAGTTTCGTTTTCTGGCTGTCCATCTGCCGACAGCTGTTTCAACCAGCTGACATTATTGCAGCATTAAATCCAAGCCATTGTCCTATGCAGCTTATGATTCCAATATACGATCCAGTTTGAATGCTGCTCATACCCGGCCGCTTTCCCAGCCTTGGCTCTCGGCCTCTCCTTTCGCCGTCTTGATGAGCGCAGGTGGTGACAATCTCCAGCTGATTGTGGCGTGTTGTCCAGCTGATCCGGGATGATGGTGTCGGTTGTGAAGTAATCCAATTGTTTGTCCGGTGAAAACGATCCTTAATCCAATGCGATATGTTTCTTATTGTCCAGTTTCACTCATAGAGTACGATTCTACTTAATGTAATGGCAGTTTAAATGTTCCAGTGTCCTATATCTTTTTGCCATTACTTCACAGGAGGGTTTAGAGTGATCCTGACGCAGACACAAACATATGAAGTTCCGGTCTTTGCTGCTGCAGTTTTAGAATGATGTTTTATTGCTTTACATACCAAGGTTTAAGTACACGGTGTCAATAGTTGTAGTATGAGCATCTGCTGGGCTGGGCTGGCCGTCTGGTAGAATCGGTATGCTCTTCCTCCTGTCCCTCTCTCCTCTCACCTATGACCCCTTTTATACACCCCGCCACCAAGTGTTCAAAATAATATTGCACTATACATATAATAAGGTAAACTGAGACACCAACAACACCCATAAAATGGCTCCTACAAAGAGTGTGGGAAAACCTTTTCTTAAAGTATTCACCTTAAAGTCCATGAGCGAGTTTCACTGTTCATTAATCTGCTTCATGTATCTGGAACATATTTACGATGTTTTCAGTTTGATTCTATTCTCTTGTTGAAATGATCAGACTACCAAAAATAAAATGGCCTTAGAAACAGACTCGTAACCCTGCATATTTGTTGTGTTTTGCAGCATATTATAAACATGTCATTCCCTTATCTTCAAATACCCCAGGTTGTGTAGTGATGTATTTGAGGTGTACTGTCCACATCGCAGACCTGAAGTCGTGCAGTCAATGTATGCGAAGTGTACAGGACCTTGGTCTCTGAGACTCAAAAAAGCCTTTCTCGCCTACCTGTCCACTTTGCAGACCTGAGATCCTGCAGTCATTTCTCAAAGATGGTGTGGCATATAGAGAGGTGCAATCTCCTGATGGTATAGACCAGGGGTGGCCAACCCGCGGCTCTCGAGCCGCATGCGGCTCTTTGCCTAGTTTCATGCGGCTCTTCAGTTCATATCGAATTTTATATGTGTGAGTTTGGGGGAGAGACACTGACTCCTGACTAGTGTTGCACGGTGTACCGATACTTGAAAGGTACCGCGATACCCCGCCGTTAAAAACGTTACGATTCCTCCGTTTCATTAGTATCGGTACTTTAAGAATAACGGGGAAAAGTACTCCGGTGAGAAAGCGCCGTTTTAATAAGAGCCGTGTGTGTTCAGCGCTCTGTTCCACTCCCTGCACTGCAGCCGTGCCTGCAGTCCCGCCCCTCTCAAGCACGCTCTAAGTCCCTCCCCTCTAAGCACGCTCTAAGTCCCTCCCCTCTCAAGCACACTCAAGTGCCTCCCCTCTCTCGTGCACGCGCTAGCTGCCAGAGCATGTGAGAAAACGAGAAGCATGGCTGCAAGTGGGAGTGCAACTGCCGCTGCGCTTCGGCTTGTTGACAAGAAAGACGCCAGAAGCGAAATTTGGAAGTATTTGAGCGATATCTCTGACAGTGAGGGCAATCCTACGGACACCACGAGGCCTGTCTGTCAGACATTTATTAATTTGATTTAATACGAATTCTTGTCATTTATTGTATTTATTGTTCTCATTGTTTAAAAGTGTGTGTTATGGTTCTGGTGTGAAATAAAGCACATAATTACATTTAAGACCGTTTCCCTTTTTTAAAGAAAATATCGAAAAAGAATCGGAATCGCAATTCTTGACTTGGTATCAAAACCAAAATGTTGGTATCGTGACAACACTAGCTACTCCTGACAGTTAAACCTGATATTTAGTAGGTCTGTTAAGTATTGAATGCTGATAATTCTGACGTAATTTGGCCGGTCAAAGTTGTTTGGCCTCGGATAAAATCGCTCCGTTACTTTCGTCCCGTGTTATGTATGTGGTGTATGTGTGGTGTCAGTATGAGAGGATGACAGCGCGTATAATTTGTATGTGGCCCAAGAGCCAATCACAATAATACCTGCGATGCAGTGAAACAATCACCTTTGAAGGGGGGAAAACCTATCGTTGATTAAACATTACCCAGTGTTTCCCCTACCATTGTCTTGGAGGGGCGCTGCGCCCCGCCAACGGAGCCCCGCGCCCCCCCTGAAATTCAAGGTGTTTAAAAAAAAATATATATAATTTTTAAAAAAAAAATATATATATATAGCACCAAATTGCAAATAATCTATAACTACTGTCACTTTTCACATTGAACATGTGCTCTTTTATTAAATAAACTAAACACTTTCATTTTAAGTTGTGAGTTTAGTGTTTTTGACCCTAAGAAACACTGATGCATTATTCAATAACAATAATCCACAGCTCCTCTCTGCTCCAGAGGATTTAAAAAATATATATCCCAATGCCACAAAAATGCATCAGTGACGTGGTTGAAATCTTGTCTCCAGAAAACAAAAAACTGAAACAAGCGGTATCAGTGACTGTGTGTTTGATGTGGCTCTTTGCAGTAACATAGAAAACATGTGGCTCTTAACCTCTGACTGGTTGGCCACCCCTGGTATAGACTGTATTATAGTGGACATCTGCAACCCTAGAAAACAAGATAACATTAGGAAAATCAATTTGTACAACTCATGTCCAAATCTAACCACTGATATATTTAAAGAAATAGCAGAATATATACATAGGAAGGAAGTTTGGTGTGGTGATTCCAATGCACACAACAGTCTATGGGGCAGCAACCATACAGACAGTAACGGAAACATAGTGGAAGAAATGCTGGAGGAAAGAACACTAGTATGCCTTAATGATGGACATGGCACAAGAGTAGATGTTCACAGGGGGAAAGTCTCATGCCTGGATCTGACATTAGTGTCAAACTGGGTTACGGCTGCTGCCTTCCTGGTCCTCTTAACTGTGTTAATGTGTGTTGCATGTAAATGAGCTGTGCGATTGCCCTGTCGTGATTGGCTGCCATCTCCTGGTCCGCCCCCTGAAGATTGTGATTGGAGCACGCCGGGTCTGACGCACTCCAATCGCAGCGTACAGCCGGCGCACACCTGCTGGAGACGACTACAAAGCCTGGGGACAATCATCACTCTGGAGGCTCTGTTGAGTGAACAGACGCCTCTCGCTACTTGCGTCTGTGGTTAAATTGTGTGGTCTGTGTTTTGTAGTGTGATATGATTAGATGTGACTATGTGTTTAGAGTATCTGAGTCTCTAAATTGACGGTAGTTGTTTAGTTTAGCTGTGTTTTTTTACAGCCTGCTTTTCTTTAGTTAGCACAACATTGACAGTGAGGGTTTTAGTTACTATTTAGTTTATCTATTTCTTTGTATGTAAACAGGCTCCCTTTTTAGAGTCCTCCCTTTGTTTGGTTGTTATGTAAACTTGCGCCCTTGTGGCCACTTTGTTTGTTTCAGGCTGCCTGCCTGCCATTTTGTTTCACCCTGGTATAATAAAGCCATTATAATTATTACCAATTCCAATCTGGTGTATGTTGCTTTCCTCTTCCCCTAGTCGGGACGTAACAAACTGTTTGGTTCATACATGCGAATGGTTTGTTTTGAATAACTCCACTGTAGGAAGTGACCATTATCCAGTGCTTCCTAAAATGAATAATAATGTATATATGCAGGAAGGAGGTGTAATAACCAGGTGGTGCTTTGCTAAAGCTGATTGGGGGAAATGTAGGATATGGTGTGAGGAGTCGGTACACCTGCTAACATCAGAGGGAAGCATAGAGGTCATTACAAGCCACATAACGCAACATATACTAAATGCAGCAGAGAACAGTATACCCAAAGCAACAACCAAGGGTAGGAAGAAAGTGGTGCCATGGTGGAATGAGGAATGCAGCAGGGCTACTAAAGAGTGAAACGATGCATTTAGAGAATTAAAGAAATATGACACAAAAAATGTTATAGAGTATCAAAGGAAAAGGGCAGCTGCTCGGAAAAGGAAATCCATTAAAATGCCAGCTTTGGTTGATGGGGAGAGGCTGGCAGTGACAGATAAAGAGAAGGCAGGTATGTTAGGAAGGACACTTGCAGCAGTACATAGTGGGGAGCATCTCAGTGATATCCATAGGCAGCAAAAACAGCAGTTACTAGCAAAGAATGAAAACGTGAAGGAGAAGAGACAGGATAATAGGTCAGCTCTGGATGTGGAATTAGTAAGAGTGAGTAATGACGTGGGAAAAACATTGAAAATGAAAGAGATAATGGCAATAGTGTACTTTGACATTGAAAAGGTGTATGACTCTGTGTGGAGGGAGGGGTTACTGATCACATTGAGTAGACTGGGTATTGGAGGGAGAATGTTCAATTGGGTAAGGGCCTTTTGAACAGACAGGACATTTAGAGGAAAGGTTGGAGCAGATCCCCAAGGGAGTGCAGTCAGTCCAATATTATTTAACATCATGATTAATGACATATTGACATGCTTAGACACATGCATCCAATCGGCTCTACACGCAGATGATTGGGCTATGTGGATGAGGGGAAGACATGCACAATCGTCCATTGTTGTTGTTGTCGGTGTCAGCTATGAGGGTTTTCCGCGCGGTTTGGCTTTATGAAGCAGGCACGCAAACGGTTACGTCATGACGCAAACGATGACGCAATGACGCAGCACCAGTCGGACTTTGAGCGGTGTGAAAAGAGCTTCCGCGAAACCGAAGAACCGGTTCTGAACCTGAAAAGCTCTAGCACGGAGCTTGAACTGGAGTTGCGTTGGTGTGAATGAGATAAATGGGAAAAAGTGTGTTCCGGGCCCAGCAACCTAAAGGAAGTGTAGTACCGCCGTTTGACCAGCACGAATATTCTCATCAGACTCTGGCGCACTTCCTGGGGGCTTGGTCAAACTGCCATCACTACTACTCTGTACTCCAACCGGAAGTACTCGGCCTCACACCCATCCGCCGGAAGTTGATAGACTTCATCTTGTGCACAGAGCCTGAGCACAAGATGGCCAAAAACCGAGAGGAGAAGAAGGACAAAAGAAGAGGTGAGTGGATTAAACACATGCAGACGTTTCATTAAGTGTATACTATTTACACCTGTTAGTTTAGCTTACAGTTAATCACGAATCAGAAGTTATCTTATTTAACACAACAGCTGTAATCTTGGAAGAAAGAAACTCACACAAAAACTTTAAAATGTGCGCCAAAAATAGTCTCAAACTATCTTTAAATAAAGGCTAAAAGCAACAGTCTAACAGCTACAGTCTAAAAGCTATCGGATAACAGCTAAAGTCTGCTATCGTCTAACAGCTAACGGCTATCGGCTAACAGCTACAGTTATTATTCCAGTTCGGCTCTGGGGGAGTAACAGTTGATTTGTAATGCTCAGCTGACTTTATGTTAGTTATTTATTACACCAGTTGTCTTTAAGACGGTTTCAGTTGTTGTGTTGGTGCTCTTTACCATAGATATGGTTTTGGTAAGTGAACAAACTGTGAGCTGTAAGTTAGAATGTAAGTTGCTACACAGATTATGATGAATTATATATAAATATTTGTATTATATTAATAATAATTTACACAGAAAACCAACTTGTAATGGTTAAAGTAATTTGCATGTAACGTTAATAACTATCTGACCTTTCTATCATTTCTCTCTGCTTAGCATCAATTGACTAAATGGATCAATTTGGAACATGTTCACGTCACAGCAGCATAGATAAGACAAGGCACTGCACGTGGTGTGATAAAACACTACATATAAGCATCTAGAATAGAACATATCATTGAATAAACTCTTTGAATTCCTCCTCTTCACTGCTGACAGTTTATGATGAATTATATCTAAATATTTGTATTAATTAATAATGAAGCATCTCTGTGGTCTTCATCAGGACAGCTGATGAGCAGCATGGAGGAGAAGAAAGAGACCCCTGGAGCTCAGGTCAGTGTGCACTTCATCACAATATATTTATAATTCAGCGTTTCCGCCAGGCGGGCGTCTTGCCTTCATTTGACGCCCTTATTCAGCTCGGAACGCCATCTATTAGGGGGGTAACGCAGGGCTCGACATTAAGGACTTCCCGGGGCCATCTAGTATTTAGCTCGGTCAATGCTGGTTGCCCGATCGGGCAATCTATTATGCCAGTATCATGCAGCTCGCGGATCCAGTAATGAGTGACCCGACAGTAAAACTAAACATATCTATAACTAGTTACGGTAGTTTGAGAGGTCAGATCTACTCCACATTAAGTGTTAGACATTAGAATTGACTATTCTTGTCTGTCACATACTCTTCTTGTCTGTCACATAAGTGGCGCAACTGAAGCGGTATTGCGCTAAAGGGAAATTATTTTGACCGAAGAGATTTAGATTTGCCGGCTAACAGGAACTCTGACGTCACCATTTTGTGTGCTTCGTGGATACGCTCGTCTCCTCTCTATGGGCTCAGAACAGTCTCATAATACACACATGCACACAGAAGGATTCACAGGTGCCTGTGTTTGGATCAATACTTTCTGATGTTATATGATATGCTACATATTAGCTAGGCTACATGGCCCTAATGTGTAAAGTTATACAAGCATTTGTACCAGTGCTTTTCACAAGTAGACTCTTGCAGCCCAGAGTATAGGAGTGATTCAACAACAACAAAAAGACATATGAGAAGTGATCAGGACGAACAGAAAGAGGAAAAGGAAAAGAGAGATGAAGAGACCAGGAGGGGCAGAGCAGGAGGAAGAGGAGGAGATGAAGAGACCAGGAGGGTCAGAGCAGGAGGAAGAGGAGGAGATGAAGACATTAGTGAAGAAGAATAAATATATGTGAGGAATAAAGATGAAGTATCAGAAAGAGGGCCAGAGGCAGGGATCAGGAGGCAGATGAGACTCCAGCTGGACCACATGGTATGTTCTTATTCTCCTTACATATTCCATTACATCAGCTCAATCTAGCAGCTCTTAGTATTGACAAATATTGATTGAAATGTGTTGCTGCACAGCTCACCTGTAGCTCTCTGAAGAGATGGGTGATGTCATTTGTGTACTTAATTATAATTAAGTACTTACAGTATGCAGAATTCTGAGTATTCTCTGCATCGGGTGCCTTTTGGGTCTTTATATCTTTGAAAAATGAAACCAAAATGTCTGGTCATAACATCTGGTAGTGGACTACTTACATTTTCCCACCTCAGGCACAAAATATATATAATTACTAGGAATTTCCTTGAAAAAATCTAACAGGGTTGAAGTTTTTGACAAAAAGTAGGCATGAGACCTTGTTTAGCTAAGATATGGCACCACATGGAAGTCAAGGACATTACAAAATTGTAATATTTTGCAAAACTATTAATTATTTACTATTATTAATTCATACAATATAGTTGAAATGTTGAGTTTGTCAATCTTAATCTGAAAATACAAAAACTGAAATATAGGTAAGAGAAGAAACTGACACTTTTGTGATGTAATTCCCTCAATGCAGATCACGGACTGATCCATTATTTTAATAGGAGGGTACATTTTATGGGGTGACGGGGTTGAAACAAACTGAGGGACAATATTGCAATTTCATAGATAATTCAAGTATTTTTTCAGAATTTATTTTTGATCAGTTAAAGTTGACAAGCATATGATTATATTAGCAGCAACATTTTGGGATAATTGGCCATTTTGATTTGTTTAATATTAAATTAATATGTAATAATGCTTAGTGAGGACATGCAAATATGTCTGTCTAAGACAACCAATTTTTTTTAAAACAAAATATATATTAATTTTACATTGTAATGCAAAACAACCTGTTCCATTAATTCATGCTTTAAAATACATTTTGTAGTTTCCTTTCATTTAAAATGGTTGAGGTAAGCTTGGGGGACTTAAAGGGCACCTGATTGTTTGTCTGAACACCTTGTTTCTCTTGTGCATTAAGAACACTTGTGTTAGGGCATGAATTAACAATAAATAGGTTATATACAGTATAAAATACCACGTACTGTCCGCCCTCCTATGCCACCCTGGCATGACCTCTTGCCTCCCCTTTGCCCCCCCATGTAAAATGTTCTAGAACCGCCACTGATGTAGAGTATCATATATGTTGCATTCATTTAGTAGCATTTATACATATATTACTGTTAATGCAAATGTGAGATATAATCCAGACAAACAAAGAGTATTACAAGAACGATATCTCTGATATGTAGCTAAGCGAAACGGTTCATTGTAAGGCTTTAACTGTGCTGTTATCTGAAAGTATAAACCACATTCAAAGAGAGAAGAGGTCGTTTCCTTCCATCAGAAACATTTTTTAACCAGTTTCTAAGTATTGTTTGTTTCATTTCCAGCTCGTCCTGTCTTTGTTTACAAATACAGACTGCTAGCTCTGAAGCTAACCAGGGTTGCCAAATGTGGGTACCTGGCTGGAGTGAGATTTTGATATTTAATTACACACATGCGCACTAAATGACTGCTATCGTGTCAGTAGCGGGACCTTAGCATATATATAGGATATACAATATATACAAATACACAATATATACACAGACTATAAAGGGCACACAGTTTCATTCACTAATGAAAGTCAAACACATGTTTGTTTCCACTGTTTCATTGTGTGCATAGGCCTGTCGCGATAAGCAAATAGTTGACTTATCGCTCCAATACACACCTCAATGCTTTATATTGTAGTCTATCCATTTGTAAGTGATGTTTTTGCTGCTGCTCCATACGCTATACAACCATAGTCTGTTGTGGACCTCATCATTGATCTGTAAATGTCTATTAATGCTTGTTTGTCTGCGCCCCAGTTGCATCCAGCTACAGCTCGCAATACATTTAATACATTTTAGCATTTTGTTTCCACTTGATTAATATGCATGTTCCATGTGTATTTGCATACACCACAGTCCTAGGTATTTGAACTCATTCACCTTTGTCATTGGACGATCATATAGTGTTAGCTGTTGGCCATCAATCTTGCGTTTGTTTGTAAATACCATGTAGCATGACTTGCTTTCTGACATTTTGAATCCCCAGTTATATGACCACCTCTCCACTTTTTTAATGCTCTAGCTTCTCCATTACGTATGGGGCATGTCTTCCCCTCATCCACATAGCCCCATCATCTGCGTGTAGAGCCCATTGGATGCATGTGTCTAAGCATGTCAACATGTCATTAATCATGATGTTAAATAATATTGGACTGACTGCACTCCCTTGGGGAATACCATTTTCTATTTCTAAATAATTGGAAATATCTGCTCCAACCTTTCCTCTAAATGTCCTGTCTGTTCAAAAGGCCCTTACCCAATTGAACATTCTCCCTCCAATACCCATTCTCCTCAATGTGATCAGTAACCCCTCCCTCCACACAGAGTCATACGCCTTTTCAATATCAAAGTACACTATTGCCATTATCTCTTTCATTTTCAATGTTTTCCCACGTCATTACTCACTCTTACTAATTCCACATCCAGAGCTGACCTATTATCCTGTCTCTTCTCCTTCACGTTTTCATTCTCTGCTAGTAACTGCTGTTTTTACTGCCTATGGATATCACTGAGATGCTCCCCACTATGTACTGCTGCAAGTGTCCTTCCTAACATACCTGCCTTCTCTTTATCTGTCACTGCCAGCCTCTCCCCATCAACCAAAGCTGGCATTTTAATGGATTTCCTTTTCCCACTCATCTGCTTAAACATGGACCAGACATCAATCAATCAATGTTTATTTATATAGCCCAATATCACAAATGTTACATTTGTCTCAATGGACTTTACAGTTTGTACAAAATATCAGTTTGACAATACGACACCCTCACATCGTACAAGGAAAAACTTCCGAAGAAAACCAACAGTTTAAAGGGAAAAATGGGAGAAACCTCAGGGAGAGCAACAGAGGAGGGATCCCTCTCCCAGGACGGACAGACGTGCAATAGATGCCGTGTGTAAATTGAAAAGATAATACATTTGCAACATAGGTAGTCCAAATGTTTGGAAATGCATGTGTGTATAATAGGAAGATGAATCCACGAGGATATCCATCCAGGACCTATGATCCAGGACCACAGCCACGACTCAAGATCCAGGGCTCACGATGCAGGACAGAGGAGCGCAGGATCATCCATGACTCCGGATCCCGGCGTATATAGACACCAAAAAGAAAGACATTTGGGGAAGCTGGGTTAATCGGAACATGAGAGTACACAGGTATAGACAGAGAGAAGGAAGAAGTAAGATGTCCCCCGACAAACTAAGCCTATATCAGCAAAACTAGGGGCTGAATCTAATCAGCCCTAACTATAAGCTTTATCAAAAAGGAAGGTCTTAAGCGCACTCTTAAAAACAGATAGGGTGTCTGCCGCCCGAACACAAACTGGAAGCTGATTCCACAAATGTGGAGCTTGATAAGAAAAGGCTCTGGCTCCCATTGTACTTTTAGAGACTCTAGGAACAACCAACAACCCTGCATTCTTGGAACGCAATGCCCTAGTAGGACAGTAGGGTATAATGAGTTCTTTAAGGTAAGATGACGCCTGCCCATTAAGGGCTTTGTAGGCGAGAAGAAGAATTTTAAATTATATCCTGTGTTCTATAGGGAGCCAGTGTAAGGCAGCCAGAACAGGAGTAATGTGGTCCCTTTTCCTAACTCTGGTTAATACACGAGCCGCAGCATTTTGAATCAGCTGAAGCGACTTGACTGACTTATTGGTACACCCTGATAATAAAGAGTTACAATAATCCAGCCTTGAAGTAACAAATGCATGGACTAGTTTCTCTGCATCGTTTTGAGGCAAGATATGCCTGATTTTTGCAATGTTACGTAGATGGAAGTAGGCGGTCCTTGAAATTGATTTTATGTGGGCGTTAAAGGATAAATCCTGATCAAATATAACACCAAGATTCCTTACAGTCTCACTGGAGGCCAAATTAATGCCATCCATAGTTAGTATATCCTTAGATAATTTGTTTCGTAGATTCTTCGTGCCAAGTACAATAACTTCAGTTTTGGTCGTGTTTAACATCAAGAGGTTTAAGGTCATCCACTTTTTTAAGTCCTTAAGGCAGTCTTCAATTTTATTTAGATGATTAATTTCATCAGGCTTGATTGATAAATATAGTTGAGTATCATCCGCATAACAATGAAAGTTTACAGAATGATTCCTTATAATATTGCCTAACGGAAGCATATATAATGTGAACAAATAGGTCCGAGCACTGAGCCCTGTGGCACTCCATGGCTAACTTTGGTTTGCGTGGAAGATTCATCATTGACACGTACAAACTGAGAGCGTTCAGATAGATAGGACCTAAACCAGTCTAAAGCAGTTCCCTGTATGCCAACTAAGTGCTCTAGTCTTTGCAATAAGATATCATGGTCGATAGTATCAAATGCAGCACTGAGATCGAGCAAAACAAGAATAGAGACACGTCCCTTGTCAGAGGCTATTAGAATGTCATTTGTGACTTTAACCAGAGCTGTCTCTGTGCTATGATGTGTTCTAAAGCCAGACTGAAAATCTTCAAATAAATCATTGTTTTTAAGTAATCACACAACTGTTTTGCGACCGCTTTCTAAAGAATTTTTGAGAGGAACAGAAGATTGGAAATAGGTCTATAATTGGCTAAAACCTCTGGATCGAGGTTGTGCTTTTTTAAGAAGCGGTTTTATCACTGCTACTTTGAATGATTGTGGAACATAGCCTGATAATAAAGACATATTCATAATATTTAATAAATAAGTGCTAATTAATGGAAAAACTTCCTTCAACAGCTTAGTTGGAATTGGGTCTAACATACACGTTGATGGTTTAGAAGAGATAATCATTGAATTTAATTGTTCAAGGTTTATGGCTGAAAAGCATTCTAGTTTACTATCTAGTGTAATATTAGAACTTACGTTTCCGGGAGCTGTTGATAACACTATACTGGTCAAAGGTAAGAGGTCATTAATTTTGTTTCTAAGAGTAACAATTTTATCGTTAAAAAAGCACATAAAATCATTACTACTGAGTGCTATGGGAATAGAAGGCTCAATCAAGCTGTGGCTCTCTGTCAGCCTGGCTACAGTGCTGAAAAGAAATTGCATTATTCTTATTCTCATCTATTAATGAAGAGTAGTAGGCTGCTCTCGCTTTACGCAGTGCTTTCTTATATTCATTGAGAGTAATATGCCAAATTAAACGAGATTATTCAAGTTTAGTGGAACGCCATATCCTTTCAAGTTGTCTCAACTTTTGCTTTATTTTGCGGGTTTCGGCATTATGCCATGGAGCTAATCTATGTTGTTTTATTTTCTTCTTTTTCAAAGGAGCAACAGAGTCTAATTTTATTCGCAGCGCATCTGTAGCACTATCAACAACATGATCAATTTGGGGTGGTGTACATTTTGTATAAGTTTCCTCCCTTACATGCAGACATGCTATCGAGTTAAGTATTGTTGGAATCTCTTCCTTAAATTTGGCTATAGCACTAACAGATAGGTTTCTGCTGCAGGAGCTTTTGACTAATGCTTTGTAGTCTCGTAACAGTACTTCAAAAGTTACTAAGAAATGGTCGGATAAAGCAGGATTATGCGGTTCGACTAATAGTTGCTCAATTTCAATACCATAAGTCAGAACAAGGTCGAGAGTGTGATTATTAGCAGTGGGTTGGTTTATTACACTCTGGACAAAAACCAACAGAATCTACTATAGAGTTAAATGCAAACAGTAAGGCTTTTTATCATCGTCAACATGAATATTAAAGTCACTACGATAATTACTTATCTGTTTTAAGAACAAAGTTGATAAAAACTCAGAGAAATTCAGATAAGAATTCTGAATAAGGACTGGTGCACGGTACACTGTAACAAATAAGATTGGCTGGCAAAGTTTTCCAGGTCGGATGCGTAAGACTAAAAACGAGACTTTCAAAGGAGGTATAATTTAATTTTGGTTTAGTATTGATAAGTAAACTTGAGTCAAAGATTGCTGCATCTCCACCTCCTCGGCCCGTGCCTCGGGCAATATGAGTATTGATATGGCTGGGTGGAGTGGCCTCATTTATGCTGACATATTCTTCATGTCTCAACCAAGTTTCAGTGAGACAGCATATATCAATATTATAATCTGATATTGAATCATTTACCAATATTGCTTTAGATGCTAGAGATCTTATGTTTAAGAAGACCACATTTAATATTCCTGTTTTGTTGCACTGTAGTAGTTGTTACATTTACTTTTATTAGGTTATTATGTATGACACCCTCTATTAGGTTTTACCTTAACTTGTCCTTGGGCAGGACACACACACCGCTAATATTGGGTATTTTATTTTTATTTATTGTCTACACATGCAACAATACAGAAGGAGTACAGTGATGTGTTCACAGGTGACGGCTGCCTGGAAGGAGAGTACAAGATCGAGATCGACGAGAGGGTGGAGCCGGTGAAACTCCCCAAACGACGAGTCCCGGTTGCCATGATGACTCCTCTCAAGTTAGAGCTGCAGGATCTACAAAGGAGAGAGATCATCACACCTGTGGAGAAAAGCACAGACTGGATAAGTAGTCTTGTCACAGTGCAGAAAACCTAATGGCAAGCCAAGAATATGTATTGATCCAAGACCACTGAACAAGGCTCTAAAGCGGAGCCATTTCCCACTTCCTACCATTGATGACATCCTTCCAGACCTGTCGAGAGCAAAGGTGTTCACAGTCTGTGATGGCATGTGAAATTGGAGGAGGAGTCAAGCTATCTAACAACATTTGCTACACCGTTTGGCAGATTTAGGTGGCTCAAGATGCCGATGGGAATCAGCCAAGCACCTGAGATTTTCCAGCGGATACTGAATCAAGCACTGGAGGGTCTGCCAGGCATCTACATCATAGCTGATGACGTATTGATCACAGGAGAAGGTGACACACAAGAAATGGCCTTCAAAGACCATGATGATAAATTGAGACAGTTTCTAAGCAGATGCAGAGAAAAGAATATCAAACTGAATGCAGAGAAATTCAGGTTGAGGCAGCAGGAGGTGCCATATATTGGACACCTGCCTGACAGCAGATGGACTGAAAATTGACCCCGAGAAGATCAGGGCAGTGAGAGACATGCCAAGACCAACTGACGTGAAGGGTGGACAGAGACTGATGGGCATGGTAAATTATCTCTCTAAATTCTACAAACACCTGTCAGATGACTGTGAGATTGTGAGACAGCTCACACACAAGGAAAATATGTGGGAATGGACAGAAATACACGAAGAAGCATTCAGCAGGCTCAAGGACAATATGGCCAAAACACCAGTACTGAAGTACTACGACCCACAAGAGGAACTGACATTGCAGTGTGATGCTTCAAAAACGCGGCTGGGAGCAGCACTGACTCAAAAAGGGAAACCTGTAGCATTCGGGAGCACAACTATGCCCAAATAGAAAAAGAATGTTTAGCTATTGTCTATGGCATGGAAAAGTTCCATCAATACACGTATGGCCGGAAAGTGACAGTACAGAGTGACCATAAGAACATTGTCAAGAAGCCACTGTTAAGTGCACCAAAGAGACTCCAACGTATGTTGCTCAGACTTCAGAGATATGATTTTGATGTGATTTATGTCCCAGGTCGTGACATGTTACTTGCAGATACATTGAGTAGAGCATACTTACCAGAGAGCTCATCTGCAGGAACAGTGGAGGTTGAGATTGAGACGGTCAATATTGTGGGCCTACTTGCCTATCTCTGAAGAGAGACTGAGCACAATCCGCTCTGCTACACAAGGAGACAAAACACTACAGACACTTAGCAACACCATTCAGAAGGGATGGCCTAAACATAAGAAAGACACACCGATAGATATTATGCACTACTACTCATTCCAGGAGGAACTGAGTATACAGGATGACATCATCTTCAGAGGGGAGAGAGCTGTCATCCCATATTCACTACAAAGGGACATCACCCGCCGGATCCACTCCTCTCACCTGGGTGTGGAGGCATGCCTCAGGCGTGAGAGAGTATGTGTCTACTGGCCGGGAATGAATGAACAGATAAAAACGTTCGTAGTGAAATGTGACATTTGCAGATCAGTTGACACGAAACAACAAAAAGAGACACGACATCCACATGAGGTACCAGGCAGACCATGGGCCAGGGTTGGTACAGATTTGTTTACCTTTAACGATAAGAACTACCTCATTACAGTGGACTACTATTACAACTTTTGGGAAGTTGACTACCTACCTGATACAAAGTCAAGTACTGTAATTAGGAAGCTGAAAGCTCACTTTGCCGTCAGGGGATTCCGCTTATTCTTTTTTCGGACAATGGGCCCCAGTATTCGTCCCAAGAGTTCCAGCGTTTCAGTCGGCTGTGGGAGTTCGAGCACAAAACGTTGTCTCCTGGATACCAACAGAGCAACGGGAAGGCCGAGTCTGCTGTGAAAACTGCAAAACGACTGATGCTGAAAGCTAAGTTAAAAGTTACAGTGATAAAAGTTACAGTGCAGTCTAAGATATGAATAGTTCAATTAAAAGCAGCGACAACAAGAAAAGTCTTCAGCCTGGATTTAAAAGTAGTCCGAGTTGCAGCGGACCTGCAGGTTTCTGGGAGTTTGTTCCAGATATTTGGAGCATAATAACTGAACGCTGCTTCTCCATGTTTAGTTCTGACTCTGGGGACAGAAAGCTGACCAGTCCCTGAAGACCTGAGAGATCTGGATGGTTCATCATTTAGCAGGAGGTCAGAAATGTATTTTGGGCCTAAACCATTCAGTGCTTTATAAACCAGCAGCAGTATTTAGAAATCTATTCTTTGACACACAGGAAGCCAGTGTAAAGACTTCAGAACAGGAGTGATGTGATCCACTTTCTTAGTGTTAGTGAGGACTCGAGCAGCGGCGTTCTGAATCAGCTGCAGCTTTCTAATATATATTTTTAGTGAGACCTGTGAAGACACCATTGCAGTAGTCCAGTCTACTGAAGATAAAAGCATGGACAAGTTTTTCCAAATCCTGCTGTGACATTAGTCTTTTAATCCTAGATATATTCTTTAGGTGATAGTAGGCTGATTTAGTAACTGTTTTAATGTGAATGTTGAAACTCAGGTCAGAGTCCATGACTACACCTAGATTTCTGGCTTTATCTGTTGTTTTGAACATTGCAGACTGAAGCTCAGAGCTAACTTTTATACGTTCTGCCTTGGCTCCAAAGACCATTACCTCAGTTTTGTCTTTGTTTAATTGGAGAAAGGTCTGACACATCCAGTCATTGATGTGTTCAATGCACTTACTCAGTGTTTGAATTGGAGCATAGTCTCCTGGTGAAATTGTTACGTAAATGTGTGTGTCGTCTGCATAGCTATGGTAACTTATTTTGTTGTTTTTCATTATCTGAGCCAGCGGTAGCATGTAGATGTTAAAAAGAAGAGGCCCCAAGATGGAGCCTTGAGGAACCCCAAATGTCATATTTGTCAACTCAGATGTGTATTTACCTATAGAAACAAAGTTGTTTCTGTCCTTTAATAGGATTCAAACCAATTTAGAACTGTTTCCGAAAGTCCAACCCAGTTTTTCCAGTCGGTCTAGTAATATGCTGTGGTCAACAGTGTCAAACGCAGCACTGAGATCTAATAATACTAACACTGAAGTTCTGCCACTGTCTGTGTTTAAGTTGATGTCATTGAAGACCTTTACAAGAGCAGTCTCAGTGCTGTGGTTTGGACGAAAGCCTGACTGGAACACATCAAAACAGTTATTTAAATGCAAGAAATTACTGAACTGTTGAAAAACTACTTTTTCAATGATTTTACCTAGAGATGGGAGGTTTGACATGGGCCTGTAATTGTTCATTACTGAAGCGTCTAGATTATTCTTTTTTAAGAGCGGTTTAATGACTGCAGTTTTCAGGGCCTGTGGAAAAATACCTGAGTGAAGAGATTTGTTTACTATATGAAGTAGATCTGAGGTCATGCAAGGAAAAACATCTTAAAAAAATCCTGTTGGAATAATATCAAGGCAGCAGGAGGAGGATTTCAGAAGTTGTATAATGTCCTCTAGGTTTTTTATCATTAATCTGATGGAATTGTGTCATGGTGTTTGAATTGATGTTAGGTAGACACAGAGGACAAAAACATCTGCTGTACCTGATGCAGAGGCCCTGACTGCTTGTCTGATTTTCTGAATTTTGTCAGTGAAGAAGAAGAAGGAGGCAAAATCATTTCACGCCCTGGTGGATATAAATTCAGAGGCTACTGACACTGGGGGGTTAGTTAGTCTGTCAACGGTAGCAAACAAGGCACGTGCGTTGTTTTTGATTTTGGTAATGATGTCAGAGAAGAACGATTGTCGTGCGTTTTTCAATTCCAAATTATAAAGGCTGAGTCTCTCTTTATAGATTTCAAAGTGAACCTGGAGATTTGTTTTTCGCCACCTGCGTTCATCTTTTCGACATTCTCTTTTTTTCTGTTTTCACGCTCATGGCCTTTCTCCATGGAGATATTTTCTTGCCAGTCACTTCCTTTACCTTAGTTGGAGCAATGGCATCCATAACATTTTAAATTTTTGAATTAAAATGATCTACTAGCTTATTTACTGAGATGTTAGCAGGGGCAAGTGTGGAAGAGAAATTCTGAGTAAGCATTTCCCTAGTATTGTCAGTTAAACATCGCTTTGTGGTTACCTCTTTTTGAACATTTTGTGAACAGAAATAGAGCTCTCAAAGAAATCACAGGAATGGTCAGAGAGTGCAACATCAGTCACCACAACCTTAGAAGATATTCAGACCCTTTGAGATCATTAAGTCCAGAGTGTGCCCCTTATTGTGCGGTGGCTCCGTCACATGCTGAGTCAGTCCATAGCTATCAAGAACACAAAACAGTTATTTAGCCCCGCTGTTCTGGGGGTTGTCAACATGGATGTTAAAATCACCAATAATGACTAGACGGTCAAAGTCAATACACACTATAGACAGTAGTTCAGTAAAGTCATCAAAAAAGCTTGCACAGTATTTGGGTGGCCTATAGATATTTAGGAACAGAGCTCGAGTGGAGCATTTCAGCTGAAGGGCCACATATTCAAAATAATCAAAGTTTTCCATACGATACCTTCCTGCATTGAAGGGAATCATTGAACAGAATAGCAACTCCACCCCCCTTTCTTATGCATTATTTCCTGACTCATAAAACTAAAGTTGGGAGGGGTTGATTCGATAAGAACAGCTGCACTGTTATTTTGTTCAATCCAAGTTTCTGTTAAAAAACATAAAATCGAGATTGTGCTCAGTGATAAAATCATTGATTAAAAATGTTTTTCCTGCCAAAGACCTGACATTTAATAAAGCTAGTTTAAGTTTGTTAAAACACACTATCAGTCATGTTTTTTGTAACAAGCTGTGGCAGACATGGAATCACTGCTAAATTAGATAAACTCACACAAACGTTTTGAGCGCTTCCTGTATCTAAGATGATTCACCGCTCTTAATCTATACCCTATCAACACAGATATCGGCAAAGCTATAGGCAGGCAGGGCCCTGGCATGTCCTGGAAATAGTTGAGAGTGCCATACGCCCTTGAGCCTGGACCCAGCAAATATCAGTTTGCAGCGTTTAGTACACACACATCCTTATCAGGCTTCGGAGACTGCAGATGCCCTCTCGAAGGGAGGGGAGGCGGCCGACGTAGGCACGGTGATGAAGACGGGGGGAGATGCGCGTCTCTGCAGTGATTTTGGTGGCGTCGTTGAGGAGCGGGGGTTAAGGACATGGTGCCAGCCCTGCGTATCGCCTTAGTTTGGTCTTTGAACTCCAGGAAGGAATCTGGTGCCAACCCTCTGTATCTCCTTCATGTGTTCAACGATCCCCAGGAGGGTGGGGGCGAGGGTGAAAGGGTGAACGGAGTATCCTCAAAGGCGTTGACAGGGGGGGGGGGGGGGTGACGGGCAGTGGAGACTCCTCCATGTGTCTCCCATAATCAGAACATTCCTCAGGGCGGGTGCAAGTGATACTTCTTCAGGGTTTCTGCGCGATGTGTTGTGTCTTTCTCCTGTTTTAATTCCCCTTGCCGCTTGTCCTTGGCAGAGGGAACAGATTGATAACGCAGGCAGTTGAATATGTTAGAGATAAACAATTTCACTCCTGACTTGTTCAGGCAAACTCCATTTGCCCAGAAAAAGTTAAAATTGTCAATAAAATGGACAGAATGGTCAGTACAGGCAGTTGAAAGCCAGGTATTCAGTGCAAACAATCTGCTGAATCTCCTCCACTCCTCTTCTGACCTGGCGGTAGAGGGCCACTGATGAACACCCTCTGCATTTAGAGAGCTGGCAGTTTCCAACAAACATTTAAAGTCTTCTTTAGCACTTCTGACTGTTGTTTCATAACATCATTTGTTCCAATGTGCAGTACACATTCTTCACAGTCGGATGTTCAGCCCCAATATGCAGGATCTTCTCAGCCAAGTCAGAGAACCACATCCTTGGGAAAACAGAGTACTTTGGTGTTGTTCTTATTACACAGACCTTTTACAATCTCTTACAGCAGAGTCACCCACAATCAGAGTTTCAGGCCCAGTCGTTAGCTTTCCCTCTAGCCTTTTACTTTTGGAGTAGCTATTGGTCCTTACCCTGCTGTGTGAAGAGGACAGGTTATCCAGGACATCAGATCTCCGGTTCTCGGTCAGCGGAGCGTATCTGTTCTGGATTGGCACACTTGGTGGTTTAGGAGGATTGTTTGTATTCTCCCTTTCGCAGCTGTCCACTGCTGTTTCCTAGTATGAATAGGGGTTGAAGAGGCGCTCTTCCTGGGTGATAACAATGCAGGCCAGCTGGTCACATCACAGATTTCAGAGCGCTGGGCTCTGCCTGTTGTTCGTCCTCCCAAATCCCATGGACATGATTTACTCTTAGGCTTTGCACCCAGAGAGTTCCAGGGAGGACTACCACTTGTAGATTTATTACCCGGTACACAGCCCTCCTGTTCCTTGGAATCCTTGTAGCTGCTAACTAGCTGTGAGTTAGCATACCCTTCTCCATTATTTTGCAACACTGGTAAAGTGGTGTCATTCCCATGACATAGTCCATTCACTTTCCACGTTAACTTCCAACCATTGCAATTTTAATTTCCAACACAGCTATCTTCTGTATAAGTTTGTGGAA